ATCATTGGATGTTCACTCGATTTCTCATGTAGCGATTTCCTTATTTTGTTGTTATTCATAAACGAATAACTATAGAGACATGAAAATTTCACTGAATGTTTATATTAGAATTTCCTATACACCATACAATTTTGAAAATATTTTGACTCTTTTGAGCCGTTTACGGACATTTTCAGTTTTCAATTTTTTTAGTTTTTTTTTTCTATAAATATCAATAAAGTTTTATCTGTTGGGCCAAAAAGTGTAAAAATTTAATACAAGGCTCCTGATATATTGTTACAATATCAGTTGAAAAATATTAAAAATACATAGGCACAATTTTTTTTTATAAGCATTTAAACATCGAATTTTTCAAAATCTCGAAAATGATTAATCATCGTAATTAATAAATTATAAAATGTTCAGTTTTTATAGCTAAGGATTGAAAATGAAAAACAAGATTCCACGTAAGTAATTAATTCTCTTACCGAAAAATCTAAAAATTATACAATCACAGTTTATTTTTATAGTCATTTTATGTTCAAATTTGGACGAAATTACATATTAAAAAACCTAGTTATTTTGTTGTGATTATATAATTTTATTCGTGGGTACCTACTTGAAATAGGGCTGGCGGTATTTTCGGTATACCGATAAATACCGGTATTTAAGAAATACCGGTATCCGGTATTTTCGGTATTTCAGAATACCGGTATACCGTGATTCGGTAATTACCGTCATTACCGAAAATACCCTACCCCGGTAATTACCGAAAATACCGTACCCCGGTAATTACCGAAAATACCGTACCCCGGTATTTACCTAAAATACTAGCATATATATTCATAATGACATAATATAATATTGTAATTTTCGTTATCTGTTATCTAACATTATACTAAGATTATAAGAATGGATAGGACACGCCTATACTGGCTTCGCAAGACTAGGTTGCGGTATTTCACCGGGCAGTTTAAGGGTTTAAGTAGGCCTGTGCTAGGGGGAAATACGATGAAAATACATAGCGCTAGCATTTGGGCTTGCTCCACTTTCCTGCATTACCCATTTACCCCCGCATTACCTCGTTATTTTCGGTAATTACCATGGTACGGTATTTTCGGTAATTACCGTGGTACGGTATTTTCGGTAATTACCGTGGTACGGTATTTTCGGTAATTACCGTGATACGGTATGTTCGGTAATTACTGAAAATACCGTATAACCGGTAATACCGTAAATACCGGTAGTAAACAAATACCGGATACCGGTATCAAAATTTTGAATACCGCCAGCCCTAACTTGAAACTTCTAAAGTGTACTATTATATATCTATGATAGTATCAGTGTTTGTTATTGATGGTGATGTATAACATGTTATAAGTACCTAATGGATATTGTGATAATGTGATATGATTAATTTGGAATTTATTATAAGTCAATTTTTTTTTTAATACCATAGATATGTATATAATTTGTCTTAAACCTAGACCGACATACCGTCTTCGCTCAGAATCGTTTTTCTTATACAATGATATTGTATCATTGAATTCAAATTTAAAAGCATCCATTATACAGTGACCCACTTGTAACCTACTGTACAGCAGAGCGACATCCACTTACCCACCTTTTTTTTAGTTTTTTTTCTAGAAATATCAATAAAATTTTATTTGTTGGTTAAAAAAACTTGAAAATTTAATAGAAGGCACATGATACATGAAATTTTCACTGGTTGTTTATATTTGCATTTTCTATACACGATACCATTTTCAAAATACTTTGATTTATAGAAGGGTCCTAGTATATTGTTTCAAAGTCAGATGAAAAATATTAAAAATCGTTAGTCACAGTTTTTTTTATAAGCATTTAAAGTTCAAAAATTGACAAAATATGCAAAAATCACGAAAATTAGCAAATTATGTTGAGTTAAGAATTCGTAAAAATTTTTCTTTTTAAATCTAAGATTTGAAAATGTAATACAAGATTACTCATAAGTTTGTCTACCTTTATCAATAAAAAAATCTCTACCAGACAGTCAAATTAAATTTTTATGAGCGTTTGAAATTCAAATTTTTACAACATTGGATGTTCACTCGATTTCTCATGTAGCGATTTCCTTATTTTGTTGTTATTCATAAACGAATAACTAAAGATACATGAAAATTTCACTGAATGTTTATATTAGCATTTCCTATACACCATACAATTTTGAAAATATTTTGACTCTTTTTGAGCTGTTTACGGATATTTTCATTTTTCAATTTTTTAGTTTTTTTTTCTATGAATATCAATAAAGTTTTATCTGTTGGGCCAAAAAGTGTAAAAATTTAATACAAGGCTCCTGATATATTGTTACAATATCAGTTGAAAAATATTAAAAATACATAGGCACAATTTTTTTTTACAAGCATTTAAACATCGAAATTTGACAGAATTTTTCAAAATCTCGAAAATTATTAACCATCGTAATTAATAAATTATAAAATGTTCAGTTTTTATAGCTAAGGCTTGAAAATTTAAAACAAGATTCCACGGAAGTAGTTAATTATCTTACTGAAAAATCTAAAAAATATACAATCACAGTTTATTTTTATAGTCATTTTATGTTCAAATTTGGACGAAATTACATATTAAAAAACCTAGTTATTTTGTTGTGATTATATTATAATATTATTCGTGGGTACCTACTTGAAACTTCTTAAGTGTACTATTATATATCTATGATAGTATCAGGGTTTGTTATTGATGTTGATGTTGATGTATAACGTGTTATAAGTACCTAATGGATATTGTGATAAAGTGATATAATTAATTTGGAATTTATTGTAGGTCAATTTTTTTTTTAATACCATAATATGTATATAATTTGTCTTAAACCTAGACTGACATACCGTCTTCGCTCAGAATCGTTTTTCTTATACAATGATATTGTATCATTGAATTCAAATTTAATAGCATCCATTATACAGTGACCCACTTGTAACCTACTGTACAGCAGAGCGACATCCACTTACCCACCTTTTTTCAATGTATGTATGATATAATTTTTATTTTTGTTTTTGGGTAAAAAGAATTAATACAAGGTCCCTCATATTACGTTTGTCATAAATCGAGGACATTTTCCCCTCGAATATTTTCGGTGTAGTAGGAAATTTTCCCCCGATACATTTTGGGGGGGGGTTGAGACTTGAGGCTTAGACAACTGAGGTCATTAGCCTGTGGAACTGCGGGGGTGGTACTGTAGGTTTTGAACACTTGTGTAGTTGTGTGTTTGTTCTGGCAGAATTTTTAAGTGGGCACCCGTAGGTATCTTCCATGCCTGGTTGGGGGTAGGCGGCCTCTCTCTCCGGACACCGTGACTGCCCGAAGAAAAATACCACCAGTGGCCGAATTCGAACCGGCAACGGTGCTCGTGGCAACCGAATCGCGGCGCCTTAGTCAGCTCGCTCACTCCGTCCCACAGGATACATTTTTTGATGCGGACATTTTCCTTTCCCATATTTTTTTTAAAGTTCACCATTTAACAATATTTTAGAATAGAATGGAATATGTACGACCATACTGAGCTGAGCCCTTCGGTACAATATCAACAAAAAAATTAATATACCTATATTTTTTATTTAATATGAAATAATTAATATTATTAAATAATAAACTCTAAAAAATGGGGGGGGGGGGAATGTCTGCATCAAAAAATGTATAGTGGGAAAAAGTCCAACTACACTAAAACAGCCTGAGGAAATGTCCGTTTATCGTTTATAATATACCAATTGTAAAATATCGAATTACATAGTTACAGTATAATATTGTGTAAGCGTTAAAAGTTATATTTTTATCAAATTCTAACCAAATAATGTTATACCTACCCAATGACACCAAATACATATATTATTTATATAAATAACAATGACCAATGGTCAATGGAACCAATAACATAATAATATTATATATTACTTTTATTAGTTACTATTATTTATTATCTGTGGACTGTGATTCAATTAGCCACTCTACAGATGTACAACTTTCAACAAGCACAGCGTCAAAGCGGCATATCAGCAGTTAATCTTATAAAAAAAAGCAATTACTTCTGCTTGTTTGTAGCCGATACCACACGCTACCTGGGTGTTTTATTATAAATTAAACAGCCAACCACGAGATATTGTTTTGATTTTAATTGATGTCTATAATTATTATGTACCTAGGTTTTTAATATTTAAAATATTTTATAATTTATATCCGATGTTTTCTCTTACTTCTACGAGACTATTACAATGTAGGTAACGGTAAGTTGTATCATAATTCATAATAATTCCATTAATGATATAATACAATAATTTCAGTTTTTAAAGTTTAAATACGAAAAAAATGTTGACGCATTTGTAAATAAAATCTAATACCTATAAAATTAACAGGCCATCTGGAGAATTTCCATTTCTAGACCGGCCACTCCACCGTCCTGGGTAGTCACTTGCCAGGTTGCCGGTAGGACGTAGGTACTTTATGTTTTTCATTTACCTATTTTAGGTACAACAATAATATTATATTATATGTATTTTGGGCACTGATTAATATATTAATCCGTGATTTTGGGGCGCCATTACTTTTTCTTCTAAGACCAGTAATCTGCATAAATGATCATTTTCTAGTTTCTACGATCAAAGAACTTGGTTCTTAACTAGGAAAATCACAGCTACCGCTACAGACTACAGAGTAAGTAACTCAGACTTCAGAGTAACTCTAAAGTCGATCAACGTTTATCCGAGTATAAAATTATTAAAATTACTAATTAATTATGATAAATATGATTAGAGAAAACTGAAAATAAACGATTAATGAATAATATATTTTGGCCGATTATCACCGCACATTCAACATTCTTCCATGCAAAGTTCCTTATCGTTTTATCAGCCCCGACATGATAACGAAAACAAAATATGTGTAAATTTATAATATGTTGTGTCAGAGCAATGACGTTTTGTTCTAAATCTGCAATAATCGTTAGCTAGTGAGTTTCGAAGTGTACGATGGGCTTCAAATTGAAAGCTCTAGTTGTAGTCTCGTCGGGACTCGTTTTGGGTGTGTGTACGTATGCTGCATACCGAACATGGAAGAAGCGACAGAACAGTGCTGATGACGAAGGTTTCGAAGACGTTTCGAAGGCAAGTACTTACTTAAATACAAACATCAGTAATTACAATAAAACCGACACTAAATGTTGGCTTTACATTGAACTGGTTTATTGTGTCTGTTTAGTTAGAAGAATCGTTGGAAAAGAAAGTATTGGTATTGGGTTTGGAAGGATCTGGTAAGTCAACATTGGTCTCACAAATTGTTAAGGAAGTCGGACAAAAAAGTATCGCATCAAATACTTTGTACAAACCAACTGAAGGATTTAATGTTACGTCTTTATCCGATGGAGGTTCTCCTACAGTTAATATATGGGAAAGTAAGTAATGTTTTATTTATTATTACCTACATGCCTACCTAATTCTATATCTTGAAAGATTAACATTAAAGTGTGATAACAAATAACTAGTGATTTTAAAATTTTAGTAATTAAATTACTATATGTTTTTAGTTATTTTATATAATTAATATGTTTATATTGTATAAATGAATATTATTTAAAAACAATCAATACCTTTAAAAATTGTATTATAGTTTATCTGGTAATTAGTTGAATGCAATTCATAAGAAAGAGACTCCACCTCTAGAATACAATTATTTCTTTAGTTTCAAAAATGGAATTTAGTTGTTATTGATTCTTAGACAAATACAGTATTTAAATTGATAACCACAACAATTAAATTATAACAATTTGTTAGATGTTGATCTAATCAACAAAATCTAAATATAATAATTTAATTTAAAATCGCAAGATTATAGGGTGCAGTGTGTATAAAATATTGTGAATATACTTTGTGTATTAATACACTAACATTTTTAGTTCCGCTATAATTTGTTTATTTCACTTAAAATTATTATTTTTTTTTTTTTAGTTGGTGGCAAAGAAAGTGTACGAAGATATTGGCCAAAGTTTTTCCAGGATACAGATATCTTAGTGTTTGTTGTTGATGCCAGCAATAATTCAAATCAATCAGTTGTTGTGAGCGAGATCAAATCATTACTTGGCGATGCCCGTTTGGCATCTGTTCCCATTTTAGTCCTCGCCAATAAACAAGTAATGTTAATATTGATATTCAAAAATGTTAGTAATGATAAATTGCCATACTTCAAATACCAACTGTATTCATACAATATTGTTTGGAAAATAGTAAAAAATAATAATCATCCAAAAGTGTGTGAAATCTATAAATCTTCACAAATAAGGCTATTCAATTACAAAACATGCATTTTCAATTTAATCATATCTTGATTAGAAATCGAAGCTAAATGCAATATTATGTTCTTCTTATTGTTTTAAATTGTATTATTGTGGTATCTGTTTATTAACCTTTTGATTGCAACGTTGAATATATAATATACCTAGTATCTGTATTTTTAGGATATGGTTGGAGCACTTAACGCAGAACAGATCTCAAATGTCCTTGATTTGAAAAGCATTCCATCTAGATCACATCAAGTAAAAGTGTTAGAAACTCAAACAAGACCAGAAACAAATGAAATTCATCAAACAGTATTAGAAGTCCGGAAAGTGCTCTTAAAATTAAGTTCCCATATGTAACATGAAAGTATTTTATGGTTCAATTAAAACAGTGGTATGCATGTATATATTATATATACATACATACAAACTAATATTATTTAAGATAACTCAATATCTCAATTGAAATATATTATTTTATAGTATTTTCATATTTAAATACTTAAAGTTCTATATTTATTTTTAAAATTATCATTTCATTTATTGGATAACCGGATTTTTTAATCCAAAATGAGGATTATATTTTTGTTTCAAACTTAAATACAGGATTATTTTCAAAAAAATATTTGTAATTATTAAATCAATATCTAATATTGTTAGACAGAAGTTTGCAGTAATTATAAACAAAGCTTAAAAAATTATCAAGGAGAATACAATGATTTTCTTTATGGTTAAATTAATAACTGTTCTTTAGATCTGGGGATTATTTTTGTAACTTAAATGTATTTCTAATTGAATTAATGTCAATTAGAAAGTTTAATTTTGAAATAGGAAAAATATAGAACTTAAAGCATTTATAATATATAAAAACAATTTTTATTTACTGAAATAATTGGTGTCATGTTAAAAATCAACTTGTGTATACTTTTTTTTAACAAATAATTTTAAAGATTCCAAATGACTTGTTTTTTTTTTTTTTATTAAGATTATAAATAACTAAAGATTAAATTATAAATCAGCTATTGGCTGGGGCATTAAATGCTCGTAAGCCTTTATGCTTTTGAATGTTAATATTTTTGCACGTATTTGTTTCCATGTCATTTGGTAAACATTTTTCGGATCCTTTGTCATCTCCTGTAATATATAATATTCAACAATTATAAAAGCAACTTAATAGAAGAAGCAGGATTTAAAATTAAAATTCCAATTTTTTTTTATTTAATGCAAAGCCTATGTTTAGCTATTATCATAGTGTTATCATATTTATAAAGATACTATGATAAAGAAAGTGTTTTGTTTGCATAATTTAAAATTATTAATTTAGGTATAATTTCATAGATATCATTACTATGTTTAAAGTGTTTTTGATGTTATGAATTAGAATAAGAATAATATAATATTTTCAATACATTATTAATATTTGATAATAATAATCATATTATAAAACAACAAACAAAGAAAAGTCTGAAAATTCATTTTTTTTATATCAATATTGAATTGTATTGATAATCTATAAACCAACAATAATTAAACAATTTTAGTAATAAGTTAACCTTATAATTGTCTCCATATTTCTCCATAAGACCAGTGATGAATTTTATCGTGCCAGGAGGTAATGTTATCTGTTTGATTCCTGTAGGTTTATTTGCTTGCTCTTCCAACATTTTGACAACTTGTGGTTGCTTTGGCTCTCTTTTGCGCTAAAAGAAAAATATCTCATATTATATTCTATAAGAATCACTGACACTATCTTATTTTTATTAAACATTTTGTTTTATTATTAACATAATTGTTTCACTGACCTTTTTATTTTGTTCTTTAATTTCTTCGCCTTTTACTTGTGGTTGAGTATTGGTGAAACCGGTTGAAATGGATTTGCTAGGATTATTCGTTAGTCCAAAGTTACTTAAATTTTTAGCAACTGATACTTTGTCATTCCAATGATCTTTTATGAGCGGACTAAATTCAAAAATTCTATATTAACCTCGATATTAACTATATAATCAATTGAAAAATGGCATCACAAAAATCTCAAAATTTAAATAATAATTAGGTACCTAAACAGATTATAAATTAAGAGAAAATTATTATTTGATTTTAAAACAAAACTTCAAAGACTGGGTATACATATAGAGTACATATATACACTACCTATTATATATATATTATAATATGAAACTGATGACTAGAATTTGGATTTGAAGGTAAATACCTTTTTTTTTTGATAACAATAGAAATATAATTTATAAATTATAATGTATTTCTATAATATCTAAGATTTAGATTTTTAGACTTATAGATTCGGAGCGATGAATGTATTGATTTTACAATGTGTTTTTTTTTTATTTTTGTCTGTCTTAACATTCTAGTACAATAAAAATGCTTAGATTTTCTTCAACAGTATCTTTTCTGATAGGAAGGTGAACTTATTGGTACTTTGGGGGAGGGGGGGGATCAAAAGTAAAGATTTCCCAGTAAAAAACAAAAGAAAAATTTAGGAAAAACGGGAATTTTTAAGCAAAATTTCTCTTCGAGAATATTGATTTTGGTTTTTGGTGCAACTCTTAAACAAATGACCGTAGGTACATGAAGCTTTGACTGAATGTTTATATTAGCATTTTCAATACACCATAACATTTTCCAAATATTTTGACTTTTGAAGTTATACTTCTTTACGCACGGTAGTGAGGAAAAAAAAAAGGGAACGGGCGGCCGTACGAACGCGAAAGCGTACATGTCCGTAAATAAATAAATATTGTCATGGTAATGTTGTTTTATTATAATATTATAATATATATATGTATATATAAAACAGTTAGCTGATTGACTGCTATCAACGCACAGCTCAAACCATTGGACGGATCTGGCTGAAATTTGGCATACAGATAGCTATTATGATGTAGACGTGCGCTAAGAAAGGATTTTTCGAAATTCGCATTTTAAATAGGTGCTCAAACAGGGACATTGAGATTCAAGATGGAAATTGGAAATTTCATTTTTATTTATTAACAGTTGCCATTGGTTACAGTCTACATTAGAAATTAGCATTTACTTATTGGTTGCCATTGGTTATTCGGGCAGATCAGGTACAAGCTTGCATCAAATCAAATTATTGAACATTGCCTACCAGGGTGGCTGAGTTGCACTTACCCCAGCAAGTTACACCCAAAAGGAGTTCAACAATCATAATTTCAAATAAGTTCAACAACCAAATTTGTTACATTAATCCACCATATTATATCAAAATAAACTTGGTATAACTTTGATAATTTAGAGTTAAATCATACACTTCTGTACAAACAGCACGGGGTCCGCGATCTACCGCAGGTAGATTGCCTACCTGATAATGTACTGCTGCGATTCAGAATTTTTATTCCGGGCAACGGAAAAGATAAGATAAATTTTGAACACCATACACTGAATATTGAATAATGAATTGAACAAAGTTTGAGTCATAACTCATATTGAGTTGATACATTTAAAGGGCGACGAAGTGCACGGGATCAGCTAGTATTATATATTATAATCGGGCCATACTAATTAATATGAATAATTAATGATCGATTATTATTAATTTTTATTATTATTATTAGTATTCACTCAAAAATCAATTGTCTGGATAAAAACAATACTACAAACAATTATCCATCGATCTGTCGAATAAAAATATAAAAAAAATAATAAAACTATCAATAATAAATAATTCCGGATACTTCTTCTTATTTTTTAAATTAATTAATATTTTTTTCTTTCTTTTTCACTCACTCACGTGTACCATTCAAAAGAAGTTTAACTTCCCGCGCGCGTACTGGTAACACACATGGTTTTTTTGAGCTGTTAATGGACATTTTCAGCTTCCATTTTTTTTAGTTTTTTTTTTTACAAATACCAATAAAATGATTATCAATAAAACTCTATTTGTGAGTTAAAATACCTTGACAATTTAATAGAAGGCTCCTGGTATATTGTTTCAAAGGCAGATAAAAAAATTAAAAATCCATAGTCACAATTACTTTTTATGAGCATTTAAAGTTCAAATATTGACAAAATACGTAAAAATGACAAAAATTTGCAAATTATTTTGAGTTAGAAATTCATAAAAAATTTTCTTTTTAATTCTAAGATTTGAAAATGTAATACACGATTCCTATAAGTTTGTCTACCCTTATCAAAAAAAAAAATATTTACAAGAAAGTTAAATTAAGTTTTTATGAGAGTTTGAAATTCATATTCTCATAACATCTGATATTCAGTCGATTTCTCATGTACCTAACGATTTTCTTATTATATTGTAATTAAAAAACGAATGACTGTAGATACTTGAAAATTTCACCGAATGTTTATATTAGAATTTTCAGGGTTTTCTATATACCGTACAATTTTGAAAATAATTTGACTCTTTTTGAGCTGTTAACAGAAATTGTCAGTTTTAATTTTTTTTGTTTTTATTAATTGTTGGGTAAGAAAGCTTGAAAATTGAAGGCAATGCTCCTGATTATTGTTACAATAGCAGTTAAAAAATTTTAAAAATACACAGGCACAATTTTTTTTTATAAGCATAATGTTGACAAAATTTATCACATTTAAAATTTAATAATTATTTTGTAGTTAAAAATTTATAAAATGTTCAACTTTTATAGCTAAGGGCCGATTTCACCAACACAGTTAATCACGGTTAAAGTTAACCAGAGTTCAGCCAAATTTGGCCGGTTAAATATCTGTTATCAGCCGATTTAATCAAAGTTTAATCGTGATTAACTGTTGGTAAAATCGGCCTTAAGGATTGAAAAATTAATACAAGATTCCACGTAAATAGGTTATAATTCGACGCCCCAGTTCAAGATTGCAACAACTTGAAATTTAACAAATCCGAGTTATGTACACCATCTTATAACGATTATAGTTCAAGAACGCAATAAAATATAGTTAAATTATTGACCACGAGAGAGTATTCTCAATATTATAATTTACATTACGTTACATAGTGAAAAAATATAGAAAACCCGTTACACCCAACAAACATGACACAATAAAACATTGCTATAAGTCTTTGTATAATCGTATGTGTAATTATTGATAGTTACAACGTTAGCAGCATATTTCTTCAAAACATTTATGTTATAACCATAAAATAATTTATAATAGGTATTCTAAACCTAACAACTAATTGTTTATAATTTTATCGCTGTACAATAATTTTAATTATCGCATGGAGTAGATCTTTCTCTAGTTATCGCTCATCGTTCCTAATATGTTTTGACGATACAATTCCCAACGGTGAATGGTAATTATTTTTAATAAGACGTACAGCGAAATTCACATATATTAATTTGAAAACAAATACATGTACCTGATAAATAATAATACTATAATATTATTTATGTTAAAGACAGTTATACAAAACTTACAACGTAACGTTAGGCGTCTTCTTCATCTTCTTACCCAACTTTTTTTTATTATAGTTTACAGGCATTTTTATTCAGTTGTAAATAAACTATTTAATGTAAAATTATAAAACGTGGACTTTGTGAGATACTTTGATGTTGACCGTAGATGAATAGTCGAATAGATGATGTTTTTATTTGTAGTTTCGTAGTAGTACTCACGTGGTATACGGATATTGTGATTCGTGGTCGAACAATAATAAAACATTGATTAATATTTAATATCAACAGAATAATATGATATGATAGATGCACAGAACAATAATATTATTATGATAATATCGTTGTTCTGTGATAATAGAGCACAAGGTCGTGTTTGTGGTTTGCCGTTAGGTTATGTCCATGATAATAATTGTTCATCGTTCGTGTAATGTGTATCATGTTTAAATAAGGAATTTCGGAATATTATAGTTAGATTTAATAACGTTTTTAAGTTTTTTCACGATTGTAAAGAACTTCTTTATAACCTTGCGTTTTCTGTAATAATCTATTCTGTGATATTCGCACAAGGGTATTTAACATTTCAATATCTATGGTATTTAAGGATAATAATCGTGCATTCGTGTTTCTTACTTATTGCATGATAAAGTAAGTAACTAATTGCTTGACCAAGAGTTACCATTGCACGACACTACGACAGTCGTTAGTATGAGACGTAAATCGTAATCATGTAATATCATATCATACAAATGTGGACTATGATCTAAGGTATGAGATATTGAGATGTTTATCGTCAGCGAATTTGAAGAGGTCGTGAAGGTGCAGCCGACTCATTTAGAAGATGATCAAATGTCCCGGATCATCATACACCTCAATTCGATGCTAGCCAACAAAGTGGTGATGGACGTCGGCTTGTGTCTGTCTTTGTTCGATATTTTGGAAATCGGTGATTCGATAATATACCCAAGTGAGGGAGCATATTTTTCAAAAGTGCGATTTAGATTCATCGTCTTCAGGTGTGTACCGACAATGAAATGGCCGAATGGCTTGTAATGTCGAAATTCCAATGAAAAAATTAGGGATGAACAACTTTACCCACCCTCACAACCCTACATTAAATAATCACATATTTTATAATGACTGCCCATATTAATTTATTACTATAAAATAAGAGCAATTAGTTATTATCTGGTTGATTATACAACAAAGGCATAAATTATGTGGGTGATAATTTAAAAACTGATGTCTGTATGCATAGTCAATTTATGTGACACCCAAATTGACTAAGCATACGAACATTAGACGCCCAAGTTCCTCCCCAAATTGCACCCCTTGGAGGCCGCATCGACGATTAAATTTTACATAACATATTTCTCATGTTGCAGACCATTTGTAGAGGAAATACTCATTGGAAAAGTAAAGAGCTCCAGTTCGGATGGAGCTGTACTGACGACTGGTTTCTTTGAAGACATATTTGTGCCTGCAGCAAATATGCAAAACCCCAGTCGTTTTGACACCAAAGACAAAGTGTGGGTGTGGGAGTACGACAACTGTGGCGATACAGTTGAGTTGCACATGGACATTGGTGAGACAGTTAGGTTTCGTGTCGTTTCAGAACAGTTTGTCGACACGCATCCAGGAGTGGACAGCGGGCTTTTAGACACCGGTGAGATAGCAACATCTAAGTCAAAATCGCCATATTCAATTGTTGGCACAGTAAGAGAACCTGGTTTAGGAGTAATTGGGTGGTGGACAGATTTATAAATTTTTAAATAAGTAATAAAAATTAGTTGTAAATATACATTTTGAATTAAATTATGTGTCTAATAAAATCAAATAATAGTTGTTTTTTATTATCTTTAGATGTACATTATACTTAATCCTATATTTACTTTAAAATGTAAAAATCATATGCCTCAGATAGTTCATCTACAAGTTTAAAAACCAGATAGCAGAAAGCAGCAGGGTTCCTCCATACATTAGATCTATTTAAAATACAACCATTTTGAAATCAATGTTTGTGTTTTTATTAAGAAATGTTTCAATATAAAAAAGAAAGATTTTTCTCGTTTGTGCAATAAAAAGTAACCACAAAACAAATTTTTGTAGGATGATTCTCACGCTTGCATTGTGTCCATAACATTTGGGTATACTATTCAACAAATTACTAAGATTAAATAAAAATATCTTGTTATCTTAATATTTTAAATAAATAATATTTAGAATTTTCAATATTTTTTTATTTTTTTTTTATATATACTATTTTCATTTATAATAATAATATTTAAAATTAAATAAGTTATTCATTTTTACAACAAAAATATATCATTAAAACAATTTGAAATGTATGACGATGGTCATCAAGAGATGAAAATGAAAAAATCTTTATAGTTTAGGATATATTCATAATTCTAATTTTTTTTTGTGATTATTTGCATGTTAATTAGGAAATATTAATTGTTAACTTAGCTACAATTAATTATAAACAATATACTATTATTATTATTTTAATTTTGTTGCAGTACATAAAACATATCTAGATGGTAGAGCTATAAATTGAATGGGCAGTATGGCACATTAGTAGAGTGACAACTGATCACAAACAAGTACATATCTATATAATACTGAAAAGTTAGACATAGACAAATGTAATCACAAATTGTGTTTTGAATCAGTTTATTTAAATTTAAATATGTATATTATAAAAAACAATCATTTTCAATAGTAAAATTACCAATAATAGTGGTACTATAAAAATAATAAAATTAAGTAAATTATAAAGAAATTGTAAAATATAACATTTTTACATTGTCACTACATTTTTAAATCAATAATTAATCTAAGTATGTATGTTTATTATAAAATTTGAATTTTAATAATATTGGAGGTTCCCCATTCTTAGCATGTTTTATACAATTTAAGGGTACATTATTAATAAAATCTGATAGCTCAACTGTGTTGTCAATAATTTCCGTATTGATTGTAACCATGAGGCCTTGGACCGCCCTGTTAAATTCAAAAGTAAAATTAATTATCAATATATAAATGTACAAAACTTAATTTCAAAACACTTACTCTCTGGGTAGTATGGTTATACGGTTGATAACGACTATTTTGTGATCCTCTAATTGGACCCACATTTCCATTAAAAGATTGCCTAGGCCTAAATTATGATTTTATTAAATTATTGGAAAAAATAAAAATAAATTATCAACTTACTGAGAATTATTGGCTTGATAACCAGCCGAATAATATCCTGGTCTATCATTTCTGCGCATAGATTGTTGATCAGATGTATGTTGAGTTCCATAATTTGGATATGCATTGTTGTCTGATCTATAAGAGTTATTTTGTTGACGACCATAATTTCCTCGGTTTTGATCATTTTGTGGAAATTGGTTTTGATTTGCATGCCAATTACCACTCGGACGCCTAGAATTTGGGTAGTCATTTTGCCGGCCATTGTTTCTATAGCCTTAAAAAACCAGTAATAACAAGATCCATAAGTTTAACTTAGTATAATAATTAAATTGAATAATAAACAGTAGTAATTACTTTGTGGTGGAGGAACAGAACCATAATTTCTAGGCACACTACTTGCATTTCTGGGTGAATAATGCCTAAAAATAAAAATATTCTTAATATTTACAAAAAAAATTATTAAAATCCATACATACGATAGTATTCTATGACCTGGAGTTCCAAGCCTTACACGTTGATTTGAATGTGTCATACCAATCATAGGCCTCCAAGATCGCGATTGTTCATCAGACAAATGCTTTGGTTTCAACACCCTTGGAGGTTCTCTAAATATAAAAAATATTTTTACATAAAAACTATACTTTATTTCTAGTTAAGGAAAATTATACTTACATAACACCTTGAAGACGAATAGCTTCAAATATATAATTATCTCCATAGCTAGGATCTTCAAATTTCACACTAAAAAAAGTTTTATAAGAAAATGTTTTATATCCTTCATTAAAATAACATTTGAAACATACCATATAACTTGATTTGATCTTACAACATTTAATCCCATAACTGGAGATGGAAGTGATCTAAAAATATTTATAATCTGTAATTAAATATTTTCAACAACAGTAAATAAATAACTAAGATTTTTTATTACCCTCCAATTTTAATACAGTCATCAGCCAACATAATTTTCCCTTCCATACCATCAATAAGTACAGATGTTAAGTTTTCATAGTTATCTTTGTTTAGGTATAACTCTTTAAGCAATTCGTACTTGGAATTATCTTGTTGAATATACAAGCGATCCATGCCTTTCACATTGCGTCGTCCTATTTGTTAATATTTTAAATTAGAATTGAAAATATAAAATACCACATAAAGTTACAACTTTTAAATTAAAAATACAACTACATTAAAAGTTGATTTAGACTAGGAAAAAGTGTATTTTTGGTAGCTTGTTTTGAATCACATAAAGGCCATCCATTCAAAGTCATTAAGGTCATAGTTTAATTTTTAATAATATTTTTGTGAAATGTAAAACATGTAAAAGTGCTCCTCTTAAATCGTCATAAGACTTAGGTGATTGAAAATTATTAGTTAAGATATTGACCTACTTGTAATGTACATTTTCATTGTTTTTAAATTATTAATGACAGTTTGCAACATACTGATAACACTTGAATTACTAATGAACTATAGCCTATAAACACTGCAAATAATTAATCTTGTTTTTTTAGTTGATTATGGTATGAGTGGTTCTACCACGGTCTTAGAAGATCTTTTAAGACTGTGGGTTCTACTTTCAACTAAAAATACTGGAAATAATTGATCTAGTTTTTTTAGATGAAAAGGCGTTAAGGCAATTATATAGCCACCGAGACTTCTAATAACCATAAGAGCTGTATATTTACACTTTACGAATTAAGCATTATACTTAAAACACCGCCAAACTTATTACACGTATTTATATTATAAACTTAAACATTGTTGTGTGTACATACTTTCTTCAGAAGTCAAAAGATCATAGTATGGTTCCAAAGCTTTATGTAGTCTTGCTTCCTCGACAAATGGCAATAGTGCCACACCTTGCCAAGCAAACTTTTTGCCATTTAAATCAATTTTGAAGTCAACTGGATAAAAATCAATTATTGGCGATTCCTATGAATTAAATAATTCTAGTATAAAAATGTATATTTATATTAACACCCAGAATTGTTAAAAAAATAATTTACTGGATCACTCATCAAAATAGCCCAAGGTTGAGGTACATGATTGCTACTAGCTGCAGGGAAAACACTCATGAGTTGTTCTAATGGACGAAACTGTATACAAAATTGAAAATATTAGTCATTAATTAATGAAATGTTAAAACAATTATAAAAAACATACTGGTACGGTTCCTTTTTCAAATTTAGTTGATACTGCAGATATATTAAGAAAGTCAGATGCAAATGGTGCATAATGATAAGGGAAATACCATTTCCAAGAAGGACAACCTTGATAATAATACTGAAGAACCCAACAAAGACCACGCACATACTCTAAAGCCACTTGATGTCGGAAACCACTGTTTGTCCTGTCTACATCAAATTTCGATTCATAGTAACGTTCCTTAAAACCATCTTCCCACAAACGAACTTCATCAGGTGTTTCTTTTTCTTCGTCTGATGATTCATTATCATCTCTTTTACGTTTCACTCCTTGATTATTTTCATTACCCTATTAATAAAAAATAATTTAATTTACAAACATGTTAAAATATTTTACGATCAATAGACTTTGAAGACTAACTACACTCTGTCTCCTCATTTCATCAACAGTTTGTCTTGGATTAGATATTGCAAATGCTGTGTTGGGTGCCTATAATAAAATATATTTACATATTTAGTTAATTTATTAATCGAAAAAACTAGGTATAAGTGTATAACTGTATAAGTAATAAAATGTAATAATTACTGATGGTGCATATTGACCACCCAGTACAAAATTGGGAGCACTTTTTGAACGCATTAATTTATCTTGTTTTTCGCGTCGTTTTTTCAATTTATTTCTGTCAGCAAACATTTTCTCTGTTTGTTGCCTTTTTTTAAATATTTCATCTTCAGCCATACCCAAATCAGACATTATTAATTGTACTCTATCCAAATTTACATCACCGTTCGCAGTCAAGAATCCCTGTAAAGAAAAATAATGTATGCATTTAAATATTAATCACATAAGAATAAATTTTAAATTTAATTATAAAACAATTACCCCAGTTTTGTACACAGTTTTTTTATACAAAGACACAAGACGATCAATTGCATTTTCTCTTATTTCTAATGATGGCAAGTGAGGCAAAAAGTCATTACCAACAAAAAAACACATAAACACCCAATCATCCAGAGCTCTCTCAAATTCATATTTAAATGGTAAGTTGGGCATTTCCAATTCTCGTTCTAAATATTCACGTAACACATTCAAGCGTACAAATATGAACTGAACATCAGCTGAAAATTCAATAGTTGATCCATCATTGAATGCTTCCCTTTCTAAACCTTGACAGTCCTTAATTTCATGTCCTAAAAATATAAATAAGCATAAATAAAATTATAATACTCTACAATATTATTAAAAACTACTAAAATACTACATTTTTTATATGCTGGTCCTGTCATACTCACAAAGAGTGAATAACGGAAAAAAATGTATCACCATACCTCACATTTTGTAACTAATGTTACATATTTTTAGTAATTGTTATAGAGTATAGACAATTATGATACTTTGATTTCAGCTATTTAATC